GAGGATAAAATGGAGAAAAGGATCATATGAGTAATCTTTCCTTGCCAGAGGAAAAATGCAATACATCATTTAATAACTTTTATTGAAAAAGTGGGAGGGGTGGGACACTTTATTGAGCACCAATAAAGATACTTGTTGGCATGATGTTGCCTAGTCCTGTCTCAGACCACTAAAGTCATATGCCCATCCTATCTTTCCACCTGACCTTTACCCTGTCAGACAATTAAAAACAAAACACTCATTGATAGGACTGGAACAGCATTTCTAGACACCAGCATCAAATTTGTAGGCCCCTGGAATATGTTCCTGCTGCATATAATTTCTGCTTCAGAGACAGATTTAAACTTGTTTTCTTACTAAAAAGTAATGGCTGACCCTCTAGAGATAGTCGACAAAACTATATCTGGAAAAAAGATTCATTTGACATTACTAGCACTTCTGTAAATTAAAACAACAGCTCAGTGCTATGTTCAAATACTCTGACAGTTCTTCCTCCACAATTATCAAAGAACTTTATCACTAAGGTACAGTCCTCCACATATTTAGACAGTAAAAGGGGCTACAACTCCAAACATGCCTGGATGAACATGCTGGGGGCTGTAGGCCTTTTCTTTGTCTAAACATACACAGGATTGTGTCTAATAGGGAGAATTTCAGAAACTTTAAAAAAAATGATTCAAGGAAGCAGAGGCATTGATATGTGAAGTGGAACTTTGATCCACATTGGTAAAATATCATTCTAGGCTAAGTCATGAACTCCTTCTGTAAACACAGGGAAGTTTTTAAAAAGGACCAGAGGTAGAAGGTTCTGCCTCAATGGAGCAGGGCCAGAGTATAATTCATCTTCATCAAAGTCAACAAGAAACTCTTGCCATTAACTTCAGCATTCAGTTTTCAGTTACCAAGCATTTACATTTTATTTAAATTAGTATTTGGGACTTCAATTTAAACGTAAAAGCAAATTCTAGAAAGAGTATGAAGGTTTTGAGACCCAGTGTAGCACAGTGGTTAGAGGACCAGCCTGGGACTTCAGAGATCCAGGTTCTAGTCCCCACTCAGCCACAAAGCTCACTGGGGAACTTGGGCCAGTCACTGCCTCTCAGGCTAACCTACCTCACAAGGCTGTTGTTGTGAGGATAAAATGAAGAGGAGGAAACCTTGTAAACCACTTGAGGTTCCTTGCAATAGGAGAAAGGTGGGATATAAACAAGGTAATGATACACACTCAGGGACTCTAACAATAAATTTACTGTAGTTCTCCACTGAGCCTAATACAACTTCATCTACTTAAACTCAGAAGAATACAGGTGGTAACCTATAGACCAACAAGACGGATGACTCATATGGTAATTAACATTTGGGAACCATCTAAAAAGCAACCACGTCATCTGACCGTGTCATATAGATATTATGGGTGTGACACAAAAATGGTTCTGTAGGAACTTTCATGCAATAAACTTGGTTACCACACTGAATCTTCATCTTTCACTGTAAAAAATAGCCCAAAAAGCCATCTACAATAACCATTTCTCTTCTCAGGCACCATGGCCAACCTCAATCCTCACCCTCTTTTAATTTAAAAACAAGAACTGGAAAATTCACCAGGAGAGAGTCACTTAAACTACCTCAAAGGGTCATTTTGAGGAAAAGGGGGGTCATCTATGCTACCTTCAGCTCCTTAAAAGGCAGGGTATGAATGAAATAAAAATGTGACAGGCTGGGATAGAAAGAGAACTGAGAACACAAACACTGTGTTAAATGCAAAAACAAAAAAAAACAAAAAAAAGACTGAGGAAGTAAATATATCATCGGTTTGCATGCCATACAGTAAAGCATTAGTTAGCCTTGACATAGCACTTCTGAGGGCTAATACGCCACATGTGTTTTCTGTGATTCTTACAACAACCCAGTAAACCACACCAATACTGTTTATTCCTCAAGTTGCAAATAACAGGACAGAGGTGGATAAAGCAGTGACTTGGCAAAGGCCACATGCAGCCTGACCTTATGCATGTAGCCTGAGGCTGCAATCTTATGTACTCTTAATCAGGGAGCAAGAGCTATTGTACTCAGTAACTTCTGGGGAAAAAATGCACAAGTTCAGGCTTCTGACATGTTATGTTTGTAGCTAAGGTGAGAGTTAAATTTATCAATATCAAAGATGAAATGCTGGGAAGAAACCTTGCCAAATTTGTCTGTTGGGCAAAACTGAGAGAAGCAGCTAATACCTCAGAAGGAAGGAGCAAAAATCAAAGTGACCTTGACAGAATGGAAAACTGGGCTGAACTAAAAAAATAAAACTCAGAGAGAAATGTAAAGTTGTGTATTTAGCCAATCAAATAATAATGTAATAATCGAATATACCAGCATAAGTGGAGGATACCTGGCTTCGCAAGAACACATTTGAAAACTATCTTGCAGTCAATCACAAGCTGAACATGGGCTAGCAGTGTGATATGGCCACACAAAGGGTAAATACAAATTTTAGGCCGCATTAGCAGAATCATTGTTTCCAGATTTCTAGGATTGGAAGCTGCCATTTAAGAATTATATAAATTGGAATGAGTTTAGTGGATGGCAATGAAGGTGCTCAGTCATACAGGAAACTTTTCCTTCAAGGAAAAGTCAAAGGAACTGGGCATATTTAACTTGGTGAGTATCATTGCATTCTTCAAAGACGCCAAGAGTAAAGATAACTAGGATCACACAATCATGGCCACCTCCATAGTTTATTTATACCAAAATGGGTTATGGCACGTGCTACTGGCCATATTTAATATTTAGATCCCAGTGGAGGTCACCATGGTTTGTCATATCATCCAAATGAGGCAGCAGGCACTGTTTGACGGTTAAGCCTCAAATAACTATAAAACATGCCCTGCTGCCCAGGTTCAGATAACACAACAAACCATGGAAACCCCATGGTGAAGGTCAAGTGCTCAAAATGGCGACCTCCCTATGACATAGCCCCCATGGCTTAAACTAACCACAGAAGGTTGCACTGATCATGGGAACAAGCCCAACAGGGTTCTGTGTTATCCCAGAGGGCAGTATTAGGTCTACTATGCATGTTTAGACAGAAAAAAATTCCTATCATTCCCTGAGGAGTCATGCTGGTTGAGGATTGATGGGAGGTGTAGCTTCCTTTCTATCTAAACATGTATAGGAGTACACCCTTACCCACTGTAGTACAAACTAGTTCAGTGCACTTGAGTATGATCACCCATTATGACAGTCAGCAATCTAGAAAAATCAATTACCAGGGTTCCTTGGGGTCAAACTATAAAAAGAAACCACATTTTTCAGAGTCTTGTGGGTTTAAAAAAGAGTTGAGAAACAAGGGATTCAATTAAGATCGCTATTATGCTGGAGTCAACAAAACAGTAGAATGGAGGTCTTTGGGGGTTTTGTTTGTTTTAAGGAAGATAGTATTAACCTAGAGTTATAAAGTAATAATTAAAATGCTTGCAGTTCAAAGCTAAGGAATTAAAACCCCCTTTTTCTTCCTTTTTTTAAAGGAAGCAGGCTTGGCTCCCAATACATACAACTGGAGCACTTTTTAAAAAAAATTATCTGCCTTAGACTTGAATTCCTTTGTTTGCTCAGTAGCCCATACCATTTCTGAATTAAGCCTACAAAAAATTCAAGAGAACAGAAGCAAGTGGAACACTGAGAATCTCTCAAAAGAAAGAGAAGCAATTGATTTCAGTACATTTTAAGTGAAGGAACAAAAAAAATCTGAAGCTATGTGGTTATTTTGCATTCCAACACCATATATCCAAGCATAAGAAGAGAATCA